CCCTATTTTGGCTTTGTTGAGGCAACATTTATTTTTCACTTAGTAAAAAACTGTGAACTTGATTCAGCTGACAGGAAGTAGTGCAGCGTATACAGATGTTCTCATTGGTAGACTCATAGTTCAATCTAGGCAAAAGAAATTTACTTTGAGTGTAGAGATGGTTGTCATGGTCCAACAAAGAGCAGAGCAGCTTCATTTATATACCACTTCATATCGCGCTATGGGATGTCTAAGCAGTTTACAACTGTAAGCTCATTGCCCCCCAACAGCTGGGTACTCATTTTAGCGACCTCGGAAGGATGCAGGCCTGATCCCAAACATTTCATGAAAAATCTGACCCTTGAATGAAAGGACATGCATACCAAGCCTGCCCAAATAGTTTGCTCCCTGAGAAGCTGCCCTGTTTCCTCCACTACCACCTTATCACTGCTGTATAAATTAGTCAAGGCTAGCCAAGTTATGTGCCATATACAGATCATAAAATCATAGAGTTGGAAAGTGCCTCAAGAGCCATTGAATCCAACCCTCTTCTCAATGCAGGATCTCCAGCTAAAGCATGCTCAGGAAATAGCAGTCTAGCCTCTTTTTGAAGACATCCTGTACAAATCTTCAGAGAGTTTATCAGCAAGTTCTTTCAGGGATGGGGTATAGTTCATCTGGCTCTACAGATCTGAACTGATTTAGGATAGATGAGCACCTGAAGGTAAATCTCCTCTTTCTTGGTAGTAAAAAATACAAGAAATAAATTCAAGAAAATTTTGCTTCCTTTTCCTGATAGTTATAATCTGATGTCTGGGGCAGCAGCCTGACTCTGCCTAAAGGTAAAAATGTTTCTGAGACTCAACTATGCAATGATGCACTTATATTCATATGCATATAAGTCAGTTTGTGTATGTAAGGATCAATGGTTAGCTTTTATGCACAGGATATACAATTACTGGAAGTATCATTGGTCCTCTTTCCAGCTCCATGTTGGTCTTAAACTTACTTTTCAATAAAGGACCCCATCTAGAAAGCCCCCTCATGTTTCAATGAAAGACCAGAGTGTTGGTAGGCAGAAATGTTAGTTGGCCAACTGGACAAAATTTGTTGGCATTTCTTCAAACTTATTCTCTTTGGCTGAAGTATATTAAAGATCATGGAAGATTGGACTTCTTCTTTTAATCCTCTCTGTTGTCATGTCAAGCTATGACACTTCCTGATTTTTTTTTTGAAGATGATAGAGAGAGCCAAATGCGAGATTCAGTTTCAGACTGTGCACTTACACACTCTTTCCAGGGACAATCTCATTGAACACATTGGAACAGAGTAACTATGGATAGGATTGCATTGTCAGGAAATCACACTGTATTTACCCAGTGGTTTATTGTGATTGGAGGGGGGACCATTTCATTTTCTCAGCAATTCTATCTCTTAATGGTTAACTTGCAGACATTTTTCTTCTAAAGCAAGCCAGGGTGGTGTAGTGGTCTGAGTGTTGCACTAAAACTGGGGGACCAGGGTTTGAATCCTCCACTCAGACATAGAAATCACCAGAAGACCTTGGACAAGCCACACTCTCTCAATCTAAGAGGGAGGCAATGGCAAACCTCCTCTGTATAAATCTTGACAAGAAATCCTTTAAGTTGCCATAAGGCAGAGTCAACTTGAAGGCACATGACAATAAAAATCTCAAAATCTATGTATGTAATTTAGGTAAATAGCTAACTGCAGAGTGGCCCCAGTAGCTGTAGCAGCACCGAAGAGTAGAAAATGTATGGAATTAAATGCTATGAACTGTGTAAATGATTTTACTCCTGTTTTTGCTACTCTACCTACCTTTTAGAAAGTTTACATTTATGTCATGCTTAACAAAATATTTAATATAACCAATTAAACATATTTTTATGTTAACAAATACAGCTGTGATGTGTGTGCTTAAATAATACAGTTGTTGACTAAAAGTTCTTTTTCCCCACTAAACTTTTTTTCTTATGGCCCCTTTTCCCATGACATCTAGCAATAAACTGTTGGCTGCTTCCTTGAGCTCACTGAAATCCTTTCCCAAAGTCCTCTTTCTAATGTCTTGCTTCCAACAATTTTGGGGAAAACTCTTTCTTCTGTAAATGAATGAGTCTGAAAGAGCCTCTTTATAGTTGCGTCTCATTATGCATCTCCCAATTGTTTTTTTCCCTTCTGTGTATGATCCTGGGAGAAACATCTTATACATCCTTCAGGGCCCAGATTGCCTTTTAAGAGAATAGCCTTGCCTTTTAAGAGATGGAAGCAGTTTATCCTGCCCATCAGTTAATGGAAGACATTCAGTCCTTCCGTGCATCAAGTCTGATCAGTTCAAACCTCTTGTATCAAACAATTCCAGGGGATTTTTCCACTAAAAGACATGAACACAGTCAGCAGCCCATATTCACCTTTGAATATTCCTGAACATTGTAAGAGTGGCATCTAGTGGTAGGATGCCCTCATATCTCTCATCATTGTCGTGAGGCAACTTAGCAGCAGGCGCAGGCAGAAAGCAAACTCCACATTACAGAATATCTTTTGCTGAATCGTGACTGACCTTCTTCACAGTCTGCAATATACAAGGAAGTATACAAGTATACAAGAAAACAAAATGTTTGAATTTGACATGTGGTGTGTCACAAGTGAGTCATAGTCAATACCACATAGTTGAAAATCAGTAATAATAATCATAAAAATGAATGTGCAATGTACCTCCGAGGCAGCATGGTGCAGTTGCTTGAGTGCTGGACTGTGGCTCTGGATTCAAATTCCCACTCGGCCATGGAAACCCACTGGATAACCTTGGACAAGTCACATTCTCTTAGCTTTAGAGGAAGGCAACAGTAAACCCCCTTGGAACAAATCTTGCCAAGAAAACCTCAGGATAGGTTTGCCTTCGGGTTTCCATGAATTGGAAATTACTTGAAGGCACAAAACAACAAGCATGCCACCATATGAGGTCATTCTATTACAAACTACAAACAGCTAAATCGGAGGGAAAAGATAATGCTTTGTTGGGAGTAAACCAAAGCATTATAAAAAGCCTAAAGAAATGGAAGGTATTTGAGCAAGAGATAGACTTAAGCCTGAGAGTGAGCAATGTGTTGCCCCACCAAGGCTATTTTGTAGTATCCAGGCCAATATGGTGGCCAATTTCAGCAGCATATTACCAAGCATCCTATCAAATATAAATGCTTGTTTCAAAGGTATATTCATGAGCCACTGTAGAAAGTCAGTAGCACCATATTGGTGGGTATGGCCCACAGCAGATCCCAGGGAGCAAAGCTGACCCACTGATCCACCAAAGTCTTAGTCTAGCCTGACTTAGGCAAATGAGAAGTCTTAAACATCACAGAGGAAGGATATCAGATACACCAAATATATATGAATACTGAAAAAGACATACAGATGAACTAAAGCAGCAGTGATGATAGTCTCATGATTTGTGGGGAAATCTTCACAAACATAGGGAAGAGGATACATATCACTTTTAATCTGTTCTTTTCTAAAGCCTGCTGGTAAGACATTAGCTTACTGCGGAGACTGTTGGTAAAGCCTGGCTTTGGGGCTAGTAGTGCCTTTGGGTCTTATCATGGCCACAGGAACAGTGAATCACTGAAGAGCCCTGCTGATTAACTCGCCCTGTGAGGATCCACATACAGGTATTTCCAAGCGTTGCAGCAAATAGCCCAGTGTAGCTGGACAGTCCTACTGAAACGGAACTGGTCACAATGCAGCAATGGGTACTTTGAAGAGACTGAGAATCTATCTGGACATAGGCAAGATGGAAAGGTAAAGTAAGCTAAGAGGAAAACTCTGTGTTTCACATGCACATGTGTAGAGTCGCCCCTTCGTTTTTGCAGACTTGAAGTCTACGTCCCTCGCCCGTTTGCTGGCAGCAAATGGGGTGTGCTTCCGCAGGCACGCGCCGCCATTCAAGCTAATGGGACTTGAATATTAGCGATTTTCCATTTTCACGGGTGGTGGTGGTCCAGAATGGATCCCCTGCGAAAATGGAGGGGTAACTGTATTCACATGTGTTTGGCCTCACAGAGGCAAACAGTGCTAGAAGCAGATCATGAAGGAGAAGCATTGTGCTTGCCAGACCTCATAGATCACCACCACAGGCAGTGGCAATTATGGTGGTAGGAGTCCTGGACAGGGCCCCCTTTGTGCACATAGGTGAGATCTCCTATCGGAGAGTTGGTTTATGTTGTGATGGATCTGGGCTTGGCAGTATTACAAGACCAAGAGGAGGCCTCCATGAGACTAGAACCAGTTGTTTCAGGTCTGAGGTAAGAAGACAGTTGTGCAACTTCCTCTTGCCTGTTGCCTTGGCTGGTATGATTGCAGTTGAAGTCTCATGGGCAACAACACCAACATGTTACCTGCCTCTTTAGTCATGCAGTGGCTGGAAAATGAGTCTAAGGTGCGTATTAAATACTACCAAACCATGGAGATAATTTGTCTCCTGATAGCTTTACATTCAGGTTGTTTGTGTTTGTATCCAACCACGTGTGTGCAGGGGGGATGGTTTTCCAGCAGCAACAAAGGGCCCCTAACTATTGAGGGAGCTGAAATACTTGTTTCAACTGTTCCAGTGATAATCTAGCATTAACCACAGTGTATCTCTGTCAACAAGGCCCTGCCATTGCAGTGATTGTCTGGCTTCATGGGTAATTATAAGTAGTCACACAAAACCTCAACAGGACATAGCAACATTAGTAGCATTTGGATTGGGGTCAGACAAATGGTTCAGTATTCAATATGCTCAAGAAAGGTCCTTCAGTCTCAAGACCAAATTTGTGCAGATCAGTCTATATATTACAAAGCCATGCTTTTGATTGAGGTATTGGTGGAAGAGAATATCTAGTCCAGAGTGTTTTTGTTAGTTAAAGCATTCTCCTGTTTCAGTTATCAGGAACTAACCAGATTGAATTATGCACTAGAAAAAGCCTATTATGTTTTCAGGGTTGTGACCTTGTGTTAACTAGCTGGTAGCTAGTGTGGTGAAGTGGTTTGAGCACTGGACTATGACTCTGGAGACCGGGGTTCGAATCCTAGCTGGGCCATGTAAACCTACTGGGTGGCCTTGGGCAAGTCATAGTCTCTCAGCCTCAGAGGATGACAACGACAAACCCCTTCTGATGAAACTTGCCAAGAAAACCCCATGATAGGTTTGTCTTAGGGTCACCATGAGTCGGAAAACAACCTGAAGGCACACAACAACAAGCTTAATATTATATAGGTTACTGCATCAAATGGAATTGATTCCTGCTGATTGCCACAGACATTCCACTATTATTCCCAGGGATTCAGGTTTTAACTTTCTTATCCTTTGCTGATAGTTTGCTGCACACATTTTCCAAAACAGAAACAAGCAGAAAAAATTATCCAAAGTACTTGTAGTCATGTTAAATCAATTGAAAGAAAATGATACAATCCCAGCCCATCCATTCTTTGCTTTCATAGATGAGTCAAGAAGCAAAGCTTCTATGTTAACTCCAGGGTTACACTATTATGCCTCTACCCACTGATCCACTCCCCTTTGTTAATTTTGTTTAACAGAGAAGTCAGATGGAAGAATTGGCAACTATAGCTCTATGCTGCTACAACAGGAAATACAGTTGTCCCTCCGTTTTTGCGGACTTGAAATCTGTGACCCTCGCTTATCCATAAAGGATGGAGGAGCACAAAATGGGGTGTGCGCCCATGGCACGCGCTTACCCTTCACCACGGACATGTGACTCCATTAATGTCAATAGGGCTTGAATATTAGGGCGGTTCGACAGTGGAACACACTCCCTCGGAGAGTAGTGGAGTCTCCTTCCTTGGAGGTCTTTAAGCAGAGGCTGGATGGCCATCTGTCAGGGATGCTTTGATTGGGAGTTCCTGCATGGCAGGGGGTTTGACTGGATGGCCCTTGTGGTCTCTTCCAACTCTATGATTCTATGATTCTATGATTTGCATTTTTCCTTTTCCTTAGGGGGGGTCCAGAATGGATTCCCTGTGAAAGAGGAGGGGCAACAGTATATCTTTCTGACTGGCATCCTATGCCCCTCCTTGATTTGCCACATGAGAAAATTCCTAAAAACTCAATTGCATGCATTAAATTGTGAAGGTAAATAATTCCCAATTACATCTGTGTAATCCCAGATTACACAAACTCACACAACATTTTCCCTGTGTCATTCTTCCATTCTTTCAATACATTTAACATCTCCAAATGGTCCTTTCAGTTAGGTTCTGAATGTAAACTCAATAGATAAATGCAAAATAATGACTGTCATCCTGTTGGCTCGTCTCAGTTAGAGTATACTTATTCAATCAGTTGTTGAAGATGAGTCAACAGATAGGTAAATCTCAATTATTGAATGCATCTACTTGGCACTGACAACAGGATTTAGGCCGTTACCTGTCATATACATTTGCTTAGGTGTTATAACTGGCTCAGGAAGAATCTGCTAGACTGTGTAGAATATCCTGGCATGGAATAGGATGGAAAGTCACTTTCAAGAGCGAGGCCAAGTAGAGAGATTTCCCAGGCAGCTGGCCAAGTTAAACCTAAAATCAAACCATGACTGGAACAGATTGTCTGTTGCCTCCAGGTTAAGTATCTGAGGTGGAGAAAATCCCCATATCTCCTCAAAGCTGTGCCAATGGAGCTGGCATACATAGCTCTGGAACCATTGTGCCAGTGTAGAACATGCCCCCAATTCCCTTTAACTCATAAAGTGTCATAAACAAACAGCTGCTTCTTGGGGGGAGGAAGCTAAAAGAGTAACTCCAGATGACAAACTGACTGTTTATTTTTGTGCAACCCTTAATGAACTATTTCAGAAACTATTTAATCTGTGTAATTGATTAAATTTTATAAACATACATATGCAAGGTATTAAAGATGAAAAAATAATGAAATCAACAAATACAAGTGTAATCCTGATACACAAACTCTCAGTATGAGAAAATTCACAAGCAAAAGCCCATGAATAAAAACTGTTATGTAAATATTTGTTTTGCAAACTACAACCTAATCCAGGTTCTAAAATGTAAACTCTTACTTGCTTTAAGCAATCTTTTCTGCTGCATGTTGACATGGTACTGAATCAACACCTAAGCTATTGACCTGTTGACAGATCTATACATCAAAATAGGAACATTTAATACAGATGCAAATATTTCCCACCAAAGTTCATTTCCAAAAGCTAGCATACAGTTATTCAACTCCCTAGTGTCCATCATGAATTCATGTTTTTATAATGAAGGGGGGGGGGGGGGAGAATCCAGAGCCCAATCAAAATAAGGGAATAATTCATAAAAACAAAATACCTGTAATGCAAGCCCTGCATTTTTGTGACTAGAAGAATGCTGAATTTAGTTGCTCAAATAATAGTCAACTAGAGGGGAGAAAGGAAAATTTACACATTTTGGGACCTTATTTTCTCCATTCAAAGGTAAAACTAAATACCCATTTTGACCCTATTGCCATGTGCTGCTTGCTAACAGTACCAAAATTCATCTCTGGCCCTGACAATATAGATACAGCTTAAAGAATTCTCTGATTCTCTGCTCTTTTCTTATAAAGAGGCCTGTGTACTTTGTACCAGACAGACATGTCTGAATTTTCAATTTTTGTGTGCTCTTGAATAGAAAACCAATTTTGTTTATTTTAATAATAATAATAATAATAATAAATTTTATTTTTACCCCGCTTTTCCATGGATATGATCAAAGTGGCTTACAAAGAGTTAAAACAGTAAAAAAGTTAAAATTGCTACAATATAAAGGTTAAAAACATCGGTGCAGGGAAAAAAGCAGCTTCATTTATATACCGCTTCATATCACACTATGGGATGTCTAAGCGGTTTACAACTTTGAGCTGATTGCCCCCCCAACAATCTGGGTACTCATTTTAGTGACCTTGGAAGGTTGCAGGCCTGAGTCGAGCCTCAGCCCTGGCTGGTATTGAACTCGCAACCTTGTGGTCTATGAGTGAGTGGCTGCAGTACAGGCATTTAACCACTGCGCCACCAGGGCTATTTTACTGCTATTTCCTTTTGTCACCAAACTTAAGGGATCATTAACATGTAATCAGAAGAGTATGTGTAGTTTTCCCCCTTTAACACCTCGGTATAATACATTCAGGGTAGTTGTGGCGGCCATGCAGCAAAATATAACAAAATACAATACACAAGACAGTGATATCTTTATTGGGCCAACTTCAGAGCATAAAATACATAATGCAGGCTTGCAAAACTCAACTGGCTTGAAAAATTAAATGTTCACTGCCTACCAAAGGGGTAGCTAGCTTCACACAGGACAGGGACAGTTGGATCTCAAGTGGTTACTTTTCTGTTGCTAATGGAGTTTATATTTTATTACCTTTCTTTTACTGTCCTTTGTCATTTGACCAAGAAGGAGGTGGCCTCTGTCTGCATTCAGATTTCTCAGTACTATCTTAACCAACAATAGAGTTGACATCTGAAACACAATATAGGCCTGTGCCTCTAACATGATTATCTTTCTTCTCCGGTATAATTTTGACATCTTTCTCTGATGAAGATGCCGGTGAAGCTTAGAAAGTTTTTGTGTCCCAAAGAGTCAGGGCAACTAGCCAAAGGCTAATTGCTACACAGCTGATAGCTAGTAGCTAATGAGCAAGCCCAGTCACAGAGTAGCTTACAGTTCAGCACTTACTATACTTTAGAAAATACAAGCCTTACCTCCCAAACAGAGTTCAGCAATGTTCAAGTCTGCAAAAACGGAGGGACGACTGTAGATCAACAGCTCAACACAGCTTCCGCTTAATTGCTGCTTCCTACAAATCCCGAGACCTCCTCAAGCCCTCCTTTTGTTGTTTCCACTTGGCAAAGGTAGGTAGGGGTAAGTGGTCTTCTATATCTGAATGAACAAGAGTCTCTGCCAGAGAGAATACTGCTCTCTGGTCTGCATCTGAGACTTGTGGATCTAGTCTAGAGCCTCTTCTTGCTGTTTCAGCAGCAGGTCCCAGCAGGTCCACTGCTTCTGAGTCAAGAGTCCATGTCTATGTTCTAGAAGCAAGGTATGACAGCTTATATGTTTTTATGCTTTGGAAATGACCCAATTAAAGTATAGATTTTGTTGTAGTCAGCCCTTAGAATCTGCGGGGGTTCTGTTCTGCTCGCCTCTTGTGGATGCAGAAACTGTGGGACCTGAAGTCCTGTGGTTTTTAATGCATGCACAGCCATTAAACGTAATGGAGCTTGGTGTCCACAGATTCTTTAATCCATGGGCAAGCCCATGGTTGGGGTGGGAGGGCTGTATTTTTTAGTACAACACAGTGACACATGCCTGAGCTGCATCCCTTGGTGTGTTTCTGATCACTAAAGTGTTGGTTCTGATGCATAAGGGCTGATAACAGTTTGGGTCCAGGCTATCTCAAGGATCATGTTCTTTCATATGAGCCTGCATATGAGATCTTCTGAGGTCCTTCTATCTGTTCTACCACTTTTGACAAGTATACCTGATGGGATATTGAGAAGAGAGCCTTCTCAGTGGCTGCTCTTATGCCCTGGAACTCCCTTCCTAGAGACAGGCTTAACTACCCCCCCCCCCCCCGTATCTTTTCAGCAGCAAATAAAATATTTTTAAAAAATTTCAGCAGGCCTGAGCATTGACTGTTTATGGGGAAAGGTCAGTTAATAATATACTGTATTTTCCATATTTCTTGCTGTTTAGTGGAAATGTTGCTTTTAATTCTATTTGCAACTAAACTGTATTTTAACTTCTGTATATTTTTACTGAGTTTTCATATGTATGTTTTAATTCTTCTAAGCCACATTGAGTCCCAGGACATGACATAAATGAACAATACAAAATAAATAAGATCCCAAAACAGAGCTATGTTAGTCTGTTTTCACCATACAAATCCTGTTATCACCCTTGATGCTGAGAAAAAGGATACAGGAGCAGACATCTGCACACATAACCTTGAGTTACACATATATAACAATCTGTAGTCACAGTCCTTATGTAGTCACTGCTCTCCTAGACATATTTTACAGGAGCTAAATAGAAGCTCCTGGCCACCTCC